AAAAAAAAAAAAAAAAAAAAAAAAAAAACCCAGACACTGAGACCACTTCAGAAATGGATACAGGTGTAGGAGGAGGCTGAAGCTTACGTAACTTTGGGGGCATTCTTTAGAAATTAGGTATTAGAAGGAACTATGCAAATGAGGAGCCCTGAGGCTGAAGCAGCAAGTCTGCTTCCTGAAGGAAGTTAGGAGTGAAAGTACCCAGGCCCGGTGCTTGGCACAGAGCAGGCATAGAAAACTTCAGATATTACTGAAGAATCCTGTATCCAGCCTCTACATATTAGGCCCTCAACACATCTCTATTAAATGCTGTTGACCTATAACTTGTCACACCCTAGAAAACAGGTTCTGATGAAGTTTTGCTGTTCAACAAAGAATGACACATACAGACTGCCAATAAGGTCTTATCATTTTAATCGATTTTAATGATTATTGCTCATCTGCAAGGATTAATATTGCATTCATTAAAAATCATTCAATACAAAATGAACTTGTTCCTCCCAAGTTGCTCTCCACATGCTCCCTCTGATGCCAGACTTTTTTTTTTTTTTTTTACAGTGTCCTTTGTTACATGGCTTGACAGAGACACAGCCCTTACCTATTATTCCTATGGACACGGTAATAGATATGGGATCGGGGGCAGGCCAGAGGGCAGGTGAATGTGGGTCCCTTCCCTCCAGCAGGGCTGATGTGATGGACACACTGTTGGCCAGGTTACCTCCCCTAACAGATGTGGTGTTCTGATTGGCTGGTTAAGTGCCTGAGGAAAATGGGCCTTAACTGTTAACATCTACAGAGAAGAAAGCATGGTCACACTGGCAAGGAGTGAGAAGGGACTGGGTGGGAGAAAATGGGAGAGAAAAGGGAAAAAAGTTTTGGCAAGACAATTGTCCCCTGCTAAGAAGCTGCAGGGTGGAAGCTTTCCTTTCTTCTATTTTTGTTTTTAATGTCTGTCTCTCTGATCAGTGGAAAAGTGAAAATTTCTAGTATCTAGCACTAATGTATGACCCAACTTTGAAGGATCACAAGCTAGAACAAGTTGAGGATTTAAAATCCTGGATGATTATATACTTAAAGCTCATGAGCATAAAGCTCATTTGACCATGCAGAAATGCTGGGAAGCAGGGTGCATGGCATGGGAATATATCTCCCTGATCTTTGAGAGAGCCTCTCTGGAGATTCTTTCAGAGCATGAGCCAGGATGTACTGACTACTTTCTTCCCACATCAACTGCCCTTTAAGATCTCAGTTCATAAACTTTTTGTGGTATGTAGCAATCAAAAGTCGCATTACTTCTGTAAAACTAACATTATATAGGGTGTATAATCCCAGACAAATTATATGAAGCTAGATATTTCTTGCCCTGGCCCAATTTATCATCTCTCCTCCTGCCCACACCTACCTCCCTTTAAATATTTTAGGTTGCAGAAGCACAGCTGACCAGAAATTTGCTCTTAAAGATAAATCCTAAAGATAGAACTCAGTGCTTTATACTGAGCAATGGCTTAAGAAATTTGCCTTCAGCACAAGCTGTATGGGACAGAGCTGATAGAATTTGCTGTTATGGCTCCAGTTCACTGATGCTATAAACTATAGGCTAGAAACAGAGGGACTTAAAAGGGCTTGAGACTAGCACTTCTCTAGACTCAGCACCCTTAGCTCCAAAGGTTCGAAAGAGAAATTGGTAACAACTAACCACTCAAGTAGTTCCTCAGCATTAACACTAAAAATTCTCCTTAATTTTTCTGTGTTTTTTTTTTTTGGACAACAGAAATAAATCCTAGAGGACAAAATTAAACTCAATAGAGTCTAGTTAAAAACTAGAAAAATGAGAAAGTCTGGTGGGAGTAGAGGAAGGGCTGTACTATAAATCCAAGTGGGCCTCCTGGTCTTAACAAGCAACGCTCATTATACACATCTCTGAACCAGACATACCACCTTTACACAGGAAACAGGGCTTGGAACTTCTAAGGGAAATTAACATGCACCACCTACACCTAACCTACCTGCCGGGTAGGTACCATCCCTGCTTCTCTGAAGAAGTGAAAGAGCACTGATTTCAGCAGCTAAGAAGTGGGCTCTTTTAAGGCGATTTAGACATTGCAGATTGTTCCACAGAGAAGGTACCTTAGCATTTCCTGTTAATAAGGTACCTAATTAAGACTAAAGTCCCCAGAAATGGTAAAGAAAGAATCACCTTTCTGGGATGGGAGAGTAAAATCCTTCTTTAGTGACTAGGATGAGGAACCCTGAACTTCTATTTCATCTAAAGAGCCATGAAGCAAGTTCCTGTGTGGTCTGCAGAACTTGGATAATGAGATGAAAAAACAAGAATGAAATTATAGGAAAGAAATCAAGAGGAAAGGAATAAGAAGAAAATAAAAGTTATCTTAAAAAATATTTCTTTTAGAGTGTGTGGGTCATGTGGACTGGTCCTTGGTAATATGGTCCATTAGTATCTGTAAAGAGAGAGAGATTGGTTAACACTTATGTCTTCCATATGAGAGTTCCAAGAGAACAATCAGAAACAGAGCACCTTCTCCAGGGCCCCTCCCCAGCCTGGGTGGGATCCCTGCAGTCATTCTCCAGGGCACCATTCTCCCTTGTTCTTCCACAGGGTCTCTAGCAATGCCATTTCTGGTGTTACCACCTATTCCCAGGAATGAGTCAGTGTTTTTTT